GAGTTTTGAAGACCTCACTTAAGAATATCTGACGAAATTACATGGATGACGACGCCTTGATTATCCGTTCCTTATGTTCGTAGTTGCAGGAGGGTGGACACTCAATGTTGTTTGCATGGAAGACACTCTTGCTGGACTCCTGTAGCTTGGTTAGGTTACAATCAGCCTGAACTGTGGCACTGTGAGTGCCACAGACAACTAAACCGCGCATTCAGTATTGGTAGGCGATTGAGGAAACATATGTTGCAATCGCAACAACTCAAATACAGGAGTAGAGCGAGACACCTAAATGATTACCAACTTATCACCATGACTCACTGATAGACAGTCTTTCTAGCTTACCAGGTACTATGATTTTCCAAACGGCAAATTTATGTTTTTAATAACACTACAAACTAGTGACAGCCCAGCCAAACAGTGAACCTCCCAAAAGACATGAAAATGATCATCTAGCCATCTAGCTTGGCTTTCCATTGTGCGTAAGTTAAGACATCTAGCATATTTTAGAAAAAAACTCAATGTTGCGTGACCCCATGTATCACCTTCCTGTGTTGCGTTTGGTTTTCGACACATTACTACCAGTGGATTGGCTTGCATCAACTGGTTAGCGAAGTGTTTTGACCCTCAAATCAATTGCATTTTAGGACAAAAAGCGTTCTATCAAAAGCTTTTTATTTAAAATACTTTATATAAAATTTGAAACTGGGACTTTTACAGCCTTCAGAAGCGGAGGAGGCAGTTAGGTATGTGGGAGAATAGTTCCAGAAAAAGATATCCATTACTAGCGTTAAGCATATGAATTATGAATCCATCGAGTGCAGGTTGTTATGTCTTGTCATTGGGGTTGAGTACGACCCACGATGTTGCGGATTTAGAAACGAAAACGATTGAGCTTCATTGATACGATAGATTCTCTTCGGAACTAACAGCAGTCAATTATGTTCAGCACATCAAACCTCGACGGCTAAGACAGGAAAATGACGGGATCACAGGTAACTTGACATTTGTCGAAGAACAAGTAACTTAAACGAAATTGGTCGAAAAATTTCTGCTGCGGTAGCAGAGTGCGACCTTATAATCATGTAGCAACTTAGTGAACATAAAAACGTGGCAACAAGTTAGAGAACAAAGGTTATGCAAAAAATCAAATTGATAAAAAATGAGTGTAAAATGTGATCGATAGAAGAACCCACCAATAATAAAGGGAAACGCCCACCACCACATTAACTCCCTCTGACCTTGTACAACTGTATCTCTTTATTAACCAATCACAATTTCGTGTTCATTGTAAGACAATATTTGCTTGTTGACTCATTTTTCTTATTCTCTGGCTACTGTTCGGTACGTTATTTGTCTCTCTTTTTGCCTGTATTAGTAGAGTGTACTGTTTGTTTGTACACTAACGACGTTAATTTATGTTTTAGAAACACACAAAGTTTATCTAGCCAAATAGCTTGCTTGTTCTGACTTTGGCCAAACCAAGACTCTGTATTCGACGGTCTAGGGAATAGCTCAGAATTAAACCTGTAGGAAATTGCTTCCTACAATGAGGGTGGCTATATTTCCAGAAAAGATCCTTGCCTTTCTGATAAAATTTGACTCTCCTTGAGAGCGCCTTAGCAGATAAATAGCAAGCTACTTCTGAGTTTGTTGAGCTCGGTTTGACGCGCTTAAAAACTAAAGTAACAGTGAGATAATGACTAACTCCATTGATACAGTCCTTCAGGCTGACTGTCCCCTGCTTCAAAAGACTCACCACTGCATGTCTAATGTTTGACGCGAAACGGTGAAAATCAGCTGCGGTCGATGCAGGAAAATTATCGGGGCGGCATGACTTAGATATTAGGCTTAATTTTCATATGTACCACATCCCTTTCTATACTATATATATTATTCTGTCAGCAAGATATAACTGCCCCTCAGTTGTCCTTAAGTGGAAGAAACTCCTAATATCCACATTCAGGGTGCTCATTCATATGAGATCTATGTGTAATCTTATGGGTTAAACAATCACACGATGTTTAGTCAAATATAGTGTAGCGAGAATATTTGTCTGGTGACACATAAGTTCATTTGCAAATATTATAATCACCGCTACCAACAGGTTGTCCAAGCATTCATTCACTTCCTTATTTTGTATAGGCATTATATTGCCTATTACCTTATATTGAATGTTGAGAGTCTTTGTTTGTCTGAACAAACAATCCCACACTCCACTGTGACTGCGCGAGGATCTAAATAAGGACTTGTTCGCCACTTGTCTGGTTTCTTCTATCAATAGCAAGAGGGTTACCTAGAGGCACGAAATGTCTACCTGGTGTCAACTACGATCGTGTGCTTGTGTCCGAAGTCACAACTTCCTGATTCTTAAGGTGCCTTCGACATTGAAGTCGATTTCATCAGATTTACTGGCCGCATTCTGGTTGCAGGCGAGCATCCGTGCCAAGTTGCTATGGGTTATGCCGTCCCACAAATATCTCTCTACAACTAGCCAGATCAAATCATTTCTTGACATGTCGACGACCTTCCAAATATATTTTCTAATTCCTTCGTTCCTGATTTCTGGCATGACTGGGCATCGGATCCTCGATTATAAAGGTGTTGTGGACATCAGTGTTGCTAAGTCCTGAGTAGCTGAAACACCTTTATGGTCATTGTAAAAAGTACTATATTTCTAACGTAGTAAAGCATCAATGATTAAAAATAAGGTTATTCAAGTACATGAAAAAACGTGTTCATTATCTGGTCAGTTTTCGACAACCACACTATTCTGCTAAAAACGCATCCACCCATACAGAATACATACCGATCTCAAGATAACTCGAACTCACTAGGACTGATGAATTTAAGTGGATGTATTAATAATAATAATAATAATAATAATAATAATAATAATAATAATTACCCATATTGATTAATAATGAAAATGTGAAACCAAACGAAAACATCCGAAAACAGGCTCAAAGAAACTGCCACGAGTGTTTCAAAAAAGGCAGTGATTTAGTATTTGTTGCGACTAACTTTGCTTCCGTATCCTTGATGTGTCAAAAGGCATTCTCGGCTTACTCGAAATTAAAGTATTTCGGTTAAGGTTTCAAATTTTGCTTAACTTGGTCTTGTGGGGCTTTATTGTTCGTTCTGACACTTCTGTTCATACAATGATCACATTGTATTTTAAGCTTTCCTTATCTGACTACAATGTTCGTCAGTATTTATAAGTGTGGACAGTCGAATGGTTTATTCCCCGCGGAGGAAGGAATGCAATGAGTGTGAAAAGTGGTTCCATAAAATGTGAAAAGAATGAAGTTATAAGCGGCACACACGTGGTTTACGATACATTGGTGAACTCCCGTTCTGAGTCACAAATTACAACGTGATCTTTTGTTAAGTAGCGACCATAGTCACGACAGTACCGACATCCGAGTAAGACCTGATATATACTTTGAAAGTAGAATAAAAAGGAAAACAACTAGAAACCCGTTGACACAATGGTGAGGAAAATCCCCGCTTAGTTGTTATTCGAGTAGTCAGGTCCTGGGAGCAAATGCCACCGATTTCTGTGTGCATAAGTCGTTCTCCCCAGGAGTTTTATATGCGAATGCTCGTAGTCTAAGAAATAAATTCTTTGAACTAGGGGCGTTAGTGGACAAATTGAGGTCACTCATTTTAGCTGTGACTGGAACTTGGTTGGTCCACGACTTCGACATTATTCCAGAATTATCCAAGTACCAATATCTAAGAATTGATAGACACAGATTTTGAACAGGAGGTGGCATCCTTCTATACATAATCAATAATATAAATACCCGCTCCTCTGTCTGTGCATCACGTGATAGCGGAACTTATGAAGTCATTAACTGTGAGCTTTTCGTGCCCGACTATCGGATGTTGTTCATTCATACTCGGAGTCATTTATCGTAGTCCAATCTACTTAGCTCGTGAGTATTATGGAAAACACACTCAGCTATGGATTGAATATAACAGATGCTTGATATAAGGAAACTTCAATGAACCCGATATTAATGGATTAAAATGGCCTCGGTAGGATCTATAAACTTATTTGATAGCGGGGTTCCTGATAACGGTAGTTGAGCATGGATTAGTACGGCATGTATCGAAAACAACATCTTTGGTTCAAAGCAAGGTTGTTCTTCATTAGGCTTGGTAACTACTCATGTGACTGACGATATTACCAACCTAAACATTCTTCCATTATTAGCGAATAGAGATCACACTGTTTCGTCATCCATCTTTAGAGCCAGTGATGTGATATAGGATCAGGTTAAGCCTCACTCAAATGTATGGACGGCTAACACATCAACCATTTAGGAGTGCGCTGCAAAGATACATTGGTCGTTTCGTAACTTAGTGTAAGTCAAAAACGCTGGAAAATCTCATTTTCCTACTCACTGCCAAAGGCTTTAGAGTATTATGGGCTATTAGTAGGTCTTTTCTGTACTTGGACGAAAAATTATATAGAGTATTATAATCGACTTTCGTGAGACGGCAATTGAAATATAGGATTCAAGAAGCGAGTCCTTATCTCAAGTATGGAACGGATATTCTGTAAACAGTCCAACGACGAGGTAAAAAGTCTCTCTGGCAGACAGCCTGAGAAATCTCAACTTATCTTACCGTAGATTAGGGAGTGTTTCAATATTTGTTGGTCGCATACTGAACGATGGACTTGGAACCAATATGTTCTATCTTTTCCTTCCGTCTAGGACTGATAATTTGAGAATACGTTACAAAGAAGTTCAAAAACCAAGATCAAATAGTTAGCATCTACAGTTCCGCTTCTCTCATCTAGTAGTGAATTGAAGGAACTTTTTTACCAAAACACGTAACATCAGCACCATTGGTTCATATTTTCAAAACGAGATTGTACCTCTAGTGTTAAAACTGCAAGGATTAATACAGGTTGATAAACTTCCTATTCTTATTAGAGAAAACATATAGGTTAACACTAGCTCATCACAAATATATTGAATTTTAGATAGAGCAGACGTTCGAAACGTACGTTACTAATGAGTGCAGTTTCTGTTTTCTCCGCAATCCATCAACTGTATCTATTAGAAAAATCTATAAAAGCATAATGTAAGAAGGGCTCATTTAAAACTATAGTTTCAATAGTAAAAGTAATGCGGGAAAAGTCAACGCTGCAAATACAATGCATAAATATATTTTTATTTTGGGGAAATACTAGGGAATTTCCCCAGGTCTGGGGGAATTTTGGGGTTTGATGCGATTTTCCCCAAAGTTCACTATAGTGGCTTCCTCCAAATTGGGAGCTCGGGATGGTATCATATTATATATATATATATATATATATATATATATATATAAATGCAAAATGTTGCTTCAGGATTGGGTTACATCGACACCCGAACTAGTGATAGGGAGTGAAGTAGTTGAGTGTGTCGACCGCTTCACTTATCTTGGAAGTCTCATCAGCCCTTGTGGTTTAGTGTGTGACGAAATCTCAGCACGGATACAGAAGGCTCGACTAGCTTTTGCCAACTTGCGTCATTTATGGCGTAGGCGAGATATCCGTCTATCAACCAAAGGACGTGTTTACTGCGCAGCAGTTCGTTCCGTCCTACGTTATGGCAGTGAAACATGGTCGGTAAGAGTAGAGGATATCCGTAGGTTACTAGTATTTGATCATAGGTGTCTTCGAAACATTGCTCGTATATCATGGGACCATCGAGTAAGTAACACAGTTGTTAGGAAACGGGTACTAGGTAAGGATGGCAAATCAATTGATGAAGTAGTGAAACTTCATCAGTTGAGATGGCTGGGACACGTGTTACGTATGCCCTACGACCGACTGCCTCGACGTGCTATGTTCAGTGGTATAGGAGTAGGTTGGAAGAAAGCTAGGGGCGGCCAAACCAAAACATGGCACAAATCCATGAAGTCACTGACAAGTGGACTGAGTCATGTTGGTAGGTGTAGACTACCTGGTTGGGGACCGCGAGATGACAGCAACCGATGGTTAGAGACCCTGAATGACATGGCTCAAAATCGTTTGCAATGGCGCAGGTGCATCCACTCTCTGTGTTCTCCCAAACTCTAATCTTCTGAATTCTTCATGTCCCTTTTTTCCTCTTTCCAAATTTCTTTCACTGTATTATACTCTTTAAATAACATCTCCAAACCCTAATCTTCCCGATTACTACTTATACTCTTATTACCTCTATCACTACGGGATTTGAATCGACAAGTGCATCTCTGTGCTAATGTGGTGTGGCAACTCGAACTGATGTACGTACGTACGAAGTTCTACGTTGTTACTGACTGACTGACTGATATATATATATATATATAGGTGTTTTTTTAATCAGACTAAAACCTACTCGTTTGTAATAATTATCTCACGAACAGACAATATTTACATCTAGTACGTAGTCAGACACTTGAACTTGGTGTTCTTAAAATTATATTGTAAGTGAAGTTTTTGGGTGAAGACTCGAGGTCCTTGTTTCTGAAGTAAAATGTTCCCAAGTGAATGAGACCTCTTGACTCTGAATGTTCATCTTTTCTCATGTTCGTCGAAATTATATTTATCGTGAACACCAGTATTACATTTAGGTGCGTGTGGGTGAAGTCATATATTGTGCTTTTATTTTGAACACAGTTAATATTCTGCGCTTAAGGTTTTTATTCGTTTCATTAATCGAAATTATTGAACACCATTTTATTTATCGTTGTGTCCAATATCCATGTTACTTTGTTCAATGAACATTTCGTTCACTTATGTTCATAATGTAACGGAAAAACAATAACGACCTGGGTTATGAGTCAATATAATCGGAACTAAGTGAACCGTATTAGTTTTAGTTTTATTCAATTTGCTGTCATGTCAATATCGTTGCTACTATGATTATTTCGATTCCTGTTTGCCATCACATTATTCTCAACCCACCATGTCTATAGAATATGGTAACTTGGGTTAACATGTATGTGCATGGATCTACGTTTCGACTGACTAACCTCAGTGACCTGGACATATAACCATGATTTTTATTTATTTATTTATTTTAACACATAGATATTGGTACAAGAAGACACCAAATACATATGCGCCACACAAATCTCATTTTATTTGTGTGAGGGCTGTGATACTGCCCGGGTGCCCAAACCGAAGCAGGTGGTTTTCTCAGGGGGCCACGCCAAGAGCCTTCGACCTGAAGGTCTGATCCACGAGGCTGTGAAGCAACGTCAGGAGATGCAGTCCCATGGTAGCCGGTGACCAACGATTGGTTCATACGCCATTTGTTCCTTCGGGATACTGGAGCGCATGTGCACCATTGGTTTGGAATCAGGGTTTTTCAACTCCCCTAGGTGGACTCCCCATGTCCACCAACCCGGTTAAAGCGCCGGACATTTGCTTTTTGTCCTCTCAATTTCGTAAACAACACCCCTGCCACGAGAAGGCAGTGAGTAAGACTTCCGTGGTATAGGCTATATACGCGTGGTCAAGTGAGAGCATTTCGAGAGGGAGAGTGGGCTCTCCCCACTCTCGGCTGTACCAGGGCATTTGGGGTCATAACCAGGATTATAATAAATCGAAACACTTTGCATTAAAATTCTTGGTTTGGTGTTATGTCGGGATCTAAACGTTATTAATTTCCACCTTTAATGCTCTCAAAGACAATACATTAAAGTTACTGGTAGATTAGTATTTTCGACACATCCCAACTATGTCAATGAATGAGGGTTCATGGTTTCTTGCGTCGACATACTCCAGTTTGCAAAATTCAAACTGATCTAGTGAATCACTCACACCATTCATATAGTTAGTGATCAACAATTTGAATGTATGAATTAAAATAGGAGATTTTAAGATGTCATTTCTATGTTTGATCATTTATAGTTCGTTGAAGAACTCGAGGTGGATAAACAAAATTTAAACCATCCTTCCGTGAATTCATCGATTGTTTATTTAAAGTGTTTTCATTCTTTCTTTAGTTGGAGAATGTAATGCAAAAATTTATGGTTTGGATAATAATTTGTGGTGTTGGCACATTTGTGTACACTTTCCGGTCTAAATTTCGGATGTCTATTTTGTGTGTTTATTTACCATTCCGTTCTTCCAGTAATTCCTAATATCATGTTCCTCATGGCATTTTTCTCCTGCTTATTTGTTCCTAAAACACTTTCTGGTTCAGTTTTTTGCGTGTGGTTAATGGCACTGAATAAAGTACATCATAATTCCGACTTTTTTTCAGTCACATCTAAAAACCTCTATTGATGCAGAGACGTCCACTCACTCGCATAGAACTTGGATTGCAAGACTTGATGGAATTTAAAAACTTCATTGATACTCAGTCTAATGGAGACTGTGAAAAAGGTAGCAAAAGTACCAAGGATTCTTTTGAAAAGGTACAACTTCGAGAAGCTGAAAGACGAAGAAAAAATGCGCGCCATCGGATCGGTGAGTAGTAATCTTGATTATTGCTGATTACCAATTTCAGGTCTACCTCCAGATTATTAAGAGACTTTAAGACTTAGTGTATATATGCTTCTGTGAACCACTATAATCAATGTTCAATTTCAACCTTTTTTCGCTGGACCTACATGTTTATCGTTTGAAACTTCACGAATAATCGGTAATTTAAATAAAATCGCCTGCTAACAGTCTGCGAAGTGGTTTGCAACGTTTAGTCGAATTTTTCGGAATACAATTTGACAGACTACCTCAGAAATTTCAACCAAATTGTCATATTTTCTACAATAAATCTCAAGTTCTAAAGTGTCGCAAAAATAATCCACAGCACAACGCACCTCTGGTTCATTTCTAGAATGAGGACTATTTCCTAGGTCTAGAATGAATTGAATTGTCTAGGATGTCATATCATACTGAAAGTCTTCTTTCACTAAAGAAGGGATTTATTGTTGCGCCTATTTTGGGAAAGGGCGTAGATAATGTACACGAAAATGGTTTCGCCTCAGGTCGGTTTTAAGCTGCTTGTAAAATATTGACTGGATCAGACTACACAAATTATCTAGACCAAATACAACAAGCAGGTTGGATTTTGTTCAGGCCATCACATCTCACTCTTTCTCAAAACGATTAGGTATCGTCACACGTATCGCATTCCTTATATCAGAATTGCAGTCAATTTATTTAACAGAACTGTACTTTACATTTATACATTAGAGAGGACTGTAATCGAGGCGGTCATCTTAGATTTTTTCACAGCTATCGTATTAGAGTGATAACGTACAATTATCTTTAAATTCTAGTCCATAATATGAGTGCGTTTGAATGAGGCTAACCAATCTTGCTAATTTTTCTGTAGCCTTATAAATGATGATATTTCCCAAACAGCTTTGAATAGAGTACGTGATTGAAAAACATATTTACTTCTCGGAATGTAAATTAGTCGATCGATGATCAGCGTTTCTGATTAATGACGAGTACTCTTGACCCTCAAAGCGCAAAATATATCACAAGAGGGATTTAGGGTTTGTGTATTTAGTGAGATTTGTGTCGTTGTTGAGCAGCAGCGATATACTTTCACTAATTTTGGTTCGAGGTGAATAGTGCTGTTACGTCGAAGGATATCATCAGTTCGTCGTTGTTGAATTGGATGTTCTTAATTCGGTCCAGGAATTGTGTGGGGGATTCGATGGAGTGGTTGGCTGAATCTACTAAATATCTCAATAAACTGCCTACTTAGGGTTTGTCCATAAACTCATATTCGCTGGTGAACTGCTAGAAATGTTCAGGATACTCATGTGCCGGAATACTGATGTTTTCAGAGACAAAGATCTCATATAGTTAAAGAGACCCATATTTAGCGCTGTCACGACATTATATTGTTTAAGCGTTAGTGTAGTAGCAGTTATCCTCTACTCTTGTCGAGCCTGGCGTCTTTAATCTTAAAACTTTAAACGACTCTGTATTAGGTCATTGTTTTCGGCGACTCAATATTGTGACTAATGTCAATATGCGTCGATATGTGGCTAATCATATTGGTAATCACTGTCCATTCATTGATAGCATCCCTGGTAACCAACTTCAGATAGTTTCCGAAACCAACTGGTTCTTCTCAGATTTCTGTTGAAGTTTGGTGAAACATAATACCCGTACTTATACAGTACATAAGATAATTTGCTAAGGGATTTTAGAATTAAAATGTCCTTTATTTCTAAATGAATGCTTAACCGGGCCTGTATAAATAGCAAAAAAGGTAACTGGTAGACTAATGGGTATTATTAAATGAATTTACGGCTAAGAAACAACTAAAATATGATGAATTTTTGGTTATGCATGAGGTTCAAGTTTTGGCTTATCCATGATTTGAATTACGAAGAAATTCAACAGACGGTAATATAACAGTTGTTAAGGCAAACACCATAGTTAGAAAGACGATCGTAACGATCATGGAGCTCAGTGACTTAAGCCATGATCATATATGACTTAAAATAGAAGTCTGGCAATCCTGTTGTAATTTGCTGATACTGCCTTCATAATAGTGCGTTAAACTTTTTAAACTGAGTAAAACCTTTCTTGGCTGTATTTTTAGTTAAGCTATATCTTAAATGCTATTTCTGTTCATTTAATCATTGGTCCTGCCATTCTTTTCCCTTTAACTTCTTGATATCGTTTTCTTTATCTGGGTCAGTTTTCGGTGCTTAATTGCGCCAGAATTTGTGTAAACTAAACAAAAGATTGATATCGCTTTTAACAATGTTCATACATACATCTTAAGGTAAAACTTAAGCTTATTCAGCTTAAACAATCGACAACCTGATAGTTTATCCAATATTAGCTGTGCTCAATAAATTAGTACATAAACCTATATAAAATTACAAATTACACTTACAGATGCGACTAAATGAATTGAATAAATGGAAATAACTAATTCACCAGTAAGCGGTAGTGCGATGATGCACTATTCAGTACAAACTACTCGATTGGTAGAACAAAAGGATGGTACTTTTTCGAATATCATTGACCATCTGTAAAATTAGTGGGTTTATGCCCTCAATGTTTATCAGAAATTTACAATTTTATTTTGTAAGTGCACCACCTATATAATTTTATTCGTTTCACATTTCCACCTGACCTAAACTGATCGTAAATTGGGTGGCATTCCGTAGCGTACTTGTTTTCATCATCAAAATTGTAAGTAGGTTTAATACCACACAACTTCTCATTAAGAAGCAAGAAGGCATTACTTGTTTTAAAATGAATTTTCAAGTGTTGTTGATAAGATATTTGGATCGTGCCAAGTGCGTTTCATCCTATCTAGGGCTCCTTAGCCTAACATTCAGACAAAAATGCGAAACCGGTCGCTTTAGGCACCAAGGCGTTGTGTATTAAGCTACAAAGTGCAGATAGCCATTAAATTGTTTAGTGGGAATAAAGGTAGTTTTAAAAATTCGTATTCATCCGTTGTCAGTATTCAGAATCAGATTAAAGTCAGTATCATGTGCTTCGATAATGCCTACGATACATCCGTTAATCTTTATGATTAACATAGGATCATGAAAAAGAAACTACATTGTTACTCTCATTTTGATTTTTATTATTACGGTATACACTGTGTTAATACGTGTATATTTGTTTCTTTTCTGCTATTTTCATCAAAATTATGAATATATTCACTTTGTTGACCGAGTAACTACACCGTCACTCCCTGAACTCGATTAGATTCATTTTGCTCTACTGGAATATTACCCAATGGAGCAACAATATAACCTTCCCATTTATCAGGTACTTGTTCCATAATATCAGTAGCTAGATTACAATTATATGCAATGTGATTATCACCATCGTCATCATCTAAAAAACAATTGGAACCAACATTAATTTCATCACATAAACTAATCATCGGTTCTGTATTATCTAGACTCCAACATTGATTATTAGTTGTTCCATGAAAAGCTTCTTTCGTTAGCAATGAATCAGCATAGCGTATAGCTTCCTCAAGAGTTCTCAAATTTTCCTTAATGAACAAAAGAGGAAACAGACTTCATAAAAGAACAAAACTCTTTCAAGTGTTGTTAAATTGAAATAGCCAAAATAATTATGATGGGTCCAATTGAAGTTATATGAACGACAAGTCGAATATGGTGTCTGTAAAGGTTAAAAACGCAAAGTTCAGCGACGGAATCTCTTTGCAATATATATATATATATATATATATATATATATATATATATATACGACTGTACAGCTTGATAATAAATCCATTCTAAAGAGATTCCTTCGCTGAACTTTGTGTTTTTAATGTTTAAATGGGAACCATATGTCAATTAAAGAGGTTAGAAGTGTAAGCAAGCGAAATCTACTTTATTTTTATGTTTTTACATGAAACGAATTATATAAATTAGAGATAATCTCGACGTTATAACTTGAAAGAAGTCGAATAAATATGACTCAGAATTACCAAGCAATAGATTAAATGATGATATGTTATTTGTCTCAAGACTTGAAGTTTATAGACTTGAGTCTATGTAGGGTTGTGATATGCACACTATCCTTGTAAAAAGTTTCAAACAAGTTTGCAACAACTATCCAATATATTGCGATGTATCCCGTTGTGTCTTAAACCCGGCTAATAATCATGTGACTTATTCGCCAATCGGAGTACGACTCATACAATCTTAGTACTGTGCTAAGCCAATGACGTTCGAGCGGTATAGGCAGCCTAGCAATCTTATTGGTTCTTTGTTCTCATATCATGTCCATTTGAGTCCATAACGCCAATAATAGCTTCCACTATACGAATAAATTATTTCAAACATACTTAGTTTATACACCAGCCAAATAGACCGCATCACACCAATAAAATAGGAAACAACATTTATACAAAATCAAGCCAAATTGTGGCTGTGGGCGTAGGAGACCGTAATCAATAGACTGAACACAACTTAAGAACAGTAAATCGTATAGTAATGGCCAATAGGTTAAAATGAAACCTATAATAAGAGGAATATAGATATGCACAATCTAGTTACTGGATAGTTATGCAATAAGAATATATATAGAGAGAGGGTTAGTCCATTAATAGTTCTTAGAAGTGGTTAATTATTGATTGCAGATAGGCACCCCATAAATCACATACATAATAAACATATATTGTAAACGACTCCATTTACTCCCACTCTACGTTATCATTGTTGATTTATGTTCCCCGATCAAATAGTCAGAGTTCACTTGATTTAGTGAATCCAACGTTATGACACACTTCTCCAGTTGAAGTTAGCATGTGACGAAAAGCAATTTGATTTCAAGTAATTACAGTTGGCATATTAGAAGAATACAGTGCTTCAAGAACTGTCCAAAAGACTGATACTTTCAGATGATATAAACTCAGTTACATAAAACCATACAAAAAAACTCACTTCTTTGAAATTTATTAGCGATATCTGTTCAAGTAGTTTAACTACATTCATATCCAATCGGGTTCGTTTTGGAAGAGTACTGTGATCAATATAAAATATATCCTGTTTATCAGGTGATACACAATCCTTTGTTCCAGATATCTAATAGAATAAATTTCAAAAATTATTTGACTATCCAGTTAACCGATTGCAAATCAACGAATTCTAATTTATTGGTAAAGTATATTTATCATATCACGATGTTTGTCTACTTTTCGGAAAGTGAAATACACCTGAAATCGACATGCGGCATGGTAACTTATGTATATGTTTGATATAATCTCAGTCGTTGAAATCCAAATAACTCCAAAGTTTCGTCCATCAAACTCATCTAGACTTCTTCAGGGTAATGATCAAAATTATCAAGGAATGTATAATGTTTATCAATCAAATCTGTACTTGGTGTTTATCAAATCACATTCAGATGTTGACTTCAGATAACATGTGAAAAGTCCACAATGTGAAAATAAATGAATAAGCGAATATATGTATGCATACGTAAGTTTATAGTATGAATAGTTGATATTCAGTATTAATTTCTTGATTGAAAGTAGAAATAAAAGTGCAAATCGAAAATATTTTTGAAACGTCGATGTGTATATAAAATCAGAATCGTCAAATACATAATTTTAGTACTGAAATATTCAAATTATGTCAGAAAACTAGTACGTGTGAAATAAATAAGTTGGATAGCGATACGGTTCAATTACTCATTGACTATCATTTACGATTGGGAGGAGGAACAAGTGCCGATGGACTGGAAAGGACACCTCGTCAAGATTGCAAAGAAAGAAGATCTGAGCAAATGTGAAAACTACAGAGGCATTACACTACTGTCAATACCAGGGAAAGTCTTCAACAGAGTGTTGCTGAACCGGATGAAGGGTGCAATAGACGCCCAACTTCGAGATCAACAAGCTGGATTCCGTAAGGATCGGTCGTGCACAGACCAAATTGCAACACTACGGATCATCGTCGAACAATCAGTTGAGTGGAACTCATCACTATACATCAACTTCATTGATTATGAAAAGGCATTCGATAGTGTAGATAGGAGGATATTATGGAAAGTTCTTCGACACTACGGAGTTCCCGAGAAGATTGTCAATATTATCCGGAACTCATACGACGGACTACAGTGCAAAGTAGTGCATGGAAGACAGCTGACAGATGCATTCCAAGTAAGGATCGGAGTCAGAAAAGGCTGTTTACTCTCTACCTTCCTCTTTCTTCTGGTGGTCGACTGGATTATGAAGACCTCGACATCTGAAGGAAAACACGGAATACAATGGACAGCTCAGAATCAATTAGACGATTTGGACTTCGCAGATGACCTAGCCCTCCTATCACGTACACATGAACAGATGCAGATGAAGACAGCCAGTGTAGCAGCAGTCTGTGCATCAGTAGGCCTCAGCATACACAAAGGGAAAACTAAGGTCCTCAAATTCAAAGCGGAAAACAGCAATCCAATCACTCTTGATGGCGAAACTCTGGAAGATGTAGGGTCCTTCACATACCTAGGAAGCATCATCGATGAACAAGGAGGTTCAGATGCAGACGTAAAGGCGAGGATCGGCTAAGCAAGGGCTGCATTCCTACAATTGAAGAACGTTTAGAACTCGAAACAACTTTCAACCAATGTCAAAGTGAGAATCTTCAATACGAACGTCAAGGCGGTTCTACTGTATGGAGCTGAAACTTGGAGAACTACAACAACCACAATCAAGAAAGTACAAGTATTTATAAATAGCTGTCTTCGCAAGATACTCAACATCCATTGGCCGGATACCATCAGCAACAGCCTTCTGTGGGAGAGAACCAACCAACTTCCAGCTGAAGAAGAAATTAGGAAAAGACGATGGAAATGGATAGGACATACATTACGGAAATCATTAAACTGCATCACGAGGCAAGCCCTAACTTGGAATCCTGAAGGGGAGCGGAAAAGAGGAAGGCCAAAGAACACATTGCGTCGGATAATAGAAGCAGATATGAAAACGATGAATTACAACTAGACGGAACTAGAAAGGATTGTCCAGGACAGGGTTGGATGGAGAATGCTGGTGAGCGGCCTATGCTCCTTCACGAGGAGTAACAGGCGTAAGTAAGTAAGTATCATTTACGAAGAGGTGGCTTGTTGAATACCATCCTTTTTGTTCATGCTATTCTGACTAGCCGATATATACAGCGCTTTTGCTGTCACATCTTACTGACTCATATCCTGCCTAATAAAGTCGATATGACTGGATAAGCATTGAGTATTGATTTGATTGTTAAGCATTAAATATTATTTGATAATTCTGATTATTGCCCTAAAGAAGTCCAGACAATTTTGCTGGACGAAACATTAGAATTATTTAAATTTTAAATATATATATAAATTTCATCTAACAGGTTGGACTGGTAGACTATCATTATGTCCAGTTCGATGTAATTCTATTGAGTAATTCAGTAGAAATGTGTGTGAGTACCACCAATGTAAATCTATTACAATTCACAAATTCTAAAGACAAACTAATGTTCAGTTAGAATTAGCTTAAGTATCCGGTAAATATTTTATGTTATTCGGGAATTGAAAGTTGAAAATCAATCCAAAAAATGAACTTCAAACCACTACAGTATTTCAGATAAATTCTAAACTATACAATTAAGTGAAAACAACAAAGATGTTAAGTCCCGATAAGCATAATGAATGGTAACTTTTGGGATTCATTTATGGACCAATACTATATGTATATTTTTATTTATTTATTTGGACACATAAATATTGTTACAGGGGGCACCAAATATGTATGTGTCACACATGATTTTTATGTAACTAAACTATTCACATTCGTGTCCCTCTTATTATGGGCTTTATTTTGACCTACGAATTGTTATTATATGATTTACCATTCTTGAGTTATGCCCTGTCTATCAATTACTATCTCCTTTACTCACAGCCACATTTGGCCAAATCTTGTACAAATGTTGTTTCCTGCTTTATGGTACGATGTAGTCTGTCTGGTTGATATATAAACCCCGTATGCTTGAAATAAAATATTCATATTGCAGAGGCTGAGATTGCTGTTCTGAACTCAACTGGCTGGGCTAGGCGGAAAGTAGCACCAATAAGGAATTTAGATTGCTCGTACTTGTTTTACGCGTCATTGGTCGATCGATAATTCACTTCTCTCTAATTGGCGGTATTAACACGTTATACATTAACAGGGCAAACAGGTCACAAGTTATAACAAAAGGTTAGGGAACATATTATTAGGTGAACGTCAAAAACACCGATCAAATACAACTGCCTTCTTTTAGGAGTGGAATAATTACGATTGACCGGTCACTGTGTAGTGGATATTTTCAAGTTTATCTAGTCTTTTAGTATCGACCGGACCCTATCGATGAAGTTAAAATATGGTCAATAGTTCAAATGGCTCGACACTACGGACACTATATTCAGATCTTGAGGCGATTCCTCTCGTAGGATTGGAACATGACCGATAGGATTTGATCACTAACAAACATGATGGTGGTCAATTAAAGGCAGTTTCATGTCTTCCAGGAGAAATAATTATTACAATCATAATTATAACACAAACTTCCGTGCCACATCAAGAAAACCATGTACCCAAACTTTCATCTTGTCCTTAAATTTTCAATTTGTGCTTGGTTGGGAACATTTGTCTCAAGTTGTTTTATACAAACACTAATTGAATCCCTTATTTGGTTATTAGTGTTCTTGTCCCTGGATTGTTGCTCCAAAACGAGCGACCTCAAATGGTTATTGCTACATCGTTTTCTTCTTTTGACTCATTTACCTAGCCACCTTAAACCAGTCAAAAGTGATATATCCGACAGTCAAAGGCATCTATTTAAAGTGAATCTTAGCTGGACTAACGGTACATAACTCAACTACAAATTACTTATTGGCTGATGGTTAAGAAATATAAATACCAGGAGACTATAAGCAGATGCATATTTTACGAGTCTGCAAATATGAGAAAACGATCTAAAACCAATTTGACATAAACTTTAGTTCAACTGTGGCGTAATATCGCTTCTTCAGAGTAACTTTACATTAAATGTACATATCATCTGTTATCCAATAGTATTCTGAAGCATAAATGCATTAGTAAAACAATTACCAGTATTATATTATATAGCAACAACCTGCGTCAAGCATTACAACTTACACTATTCACCTCTTCTAATTCATGCTGCACCCCAACATCGAATCGTTTCCAAATAGGTTTAGATGGAACAAAACGATATACAGAACTTTTATCTGAACATTTTATTTCTTCATCAGTACAATATTTATTTGTCACTGTATCTGACAAGACATTTTTAGATGATTCCGTTGAAAAATACCGTGTCTGGTTTTTGCCAATATACTGTGTGTATTGGTAATAACGACATTGTGATAATGCTTGATTAATGGGAGTATAATGTTTAAAAATCTATAAATAATACAAAAGATATTATATCCACTTTAAATGTTATTAGCATCAGTCAAATAATAAACTAAAGCGGTAAAACAATTTATGGAAAGAAAAACTAGGTCTAAGAACCATAAGATTATAAATAAAAGTAGCGATCTTTAACAGATGTAATGAAACATGTTTCCTTTACTTACTATGAATTGAATAAACATCAAATAATAATGCTTTGCTATACATCTTTTTAAGAATCGTTCAGTATCTCGCATTCGATAATCTCAAGAATTATTGTTCCAATTCGTAGATACATAAAAGCGTTGAAGCTCTCAATATCAGTATAGGGTTGTGGAGATTATCAAGTTTTTGATTGAGATCATGAACCGATTAATGTTGGACCACTATTGAAAACCTGGAAGCACTGAACGGTCGTTTCGCCCTATTGTGGGACTCCTTAGTGGTGCGCACCCGCGATCCCGCTTGCAGGATTCGAAACCAATGGAACTAATCCGTGTCGAATAGAGACAGGTATCTACCTCAGTACAATGGGAGATGGTCATGCAATTTCACGGATTGGTTGAGGCTAGACATTAACACCATGGGATGCTGGCTCAGTGGTCTAGAGGTTAGGTGTCGATGCGCGAGACTCAAGGCCCTGGATCCGAATCCCGCGAGCGGGATTGTGGATGCGCACTGCTGAGGAGTCCCACGGTAGGACGAAACCGCCGTCAAGTGCTTCCAGGTTCTCAACGGTGGCCTAGCACCAGTCGGTTTACGAATTCGAAACTCAATGATCGGAATATATGTAGTACAATTTTATGCCATAATAGGTTCTTATTTACGAAATTTTTTCTTGATCCCTATTCCAAACTGAAAAAAGTTCACTGAAAATTATGAAGCCAGTCAATTAAACTGTTATAAATTGGATGGGCTGTATCAAGTGAATGTACACAATGGTCTGATTGTTTATTCAGGGAACCAGGTAACAAAAATATGGTTACACTGGCTACAAATACAGACTGGAATAGAATCATTTACAACATAAAATTCAAGAATTACCATAGGATGGTTGTGGAGATTTCATTGAAGTCATAAATGTATTCCATTAGATTCCAACCTAATGTTTTGGAAGTTAAGCGATTATTTAGAGGTTCAGAAGTCCTGATTTCGATCTATGATAGATTCATGGATGTGTAATCCTTCTCTCGCTAACAAGTCACTGTTTAGATTGTTTGATTGCATCACATACAGTAACAGGTGTATCTTAAGAAAAATAGCTACTTATTCCGCTTTATAAGGACTTGAATTAACGTTAGAGTATGTGGTTTCACATAGAAATAATACATTAACAATAATCACTAAATTAAACAGAATACTTGGTCAAAATATCAACACAAAACTAGATAATTTACTCAATGCTATTCTGATATGAACTTCTTCAATGAAATAGTTAAGGTGAAATAAAACGCATCAATCAGATACAACTCCAAATATATCTTCTTTATTATTTATAAAACAAAATACATGATCTACTTAGATTGGAATGTAAAAATTATTTGAGAAAATCAATAGTGTATCACAAAAGTCATACTAACCATTATACATGATAAGAATGCATTCTTCATATAATTACAAGAATTAATAGCATTAGTGAAATTTGAAAAAAATTACCATAATTTGTGACAAAGTTTTAGAAAGAGATGGAGTTTTTTCTGGTTAGCAAGTTAGTTTTCTACGGATGGGGTAGCTAACCCTATACCCAACCCTCCTCTTTTATTCGGGCTTAGAACCGGCAGTAGCCCTAGAGGGGCTCCAGAAGGAGTTAAGGAGACAGACAATCATTTTACTATATTGTCCCATGGTATGTTTAATAGAAAATGGTTAGGGTTTCGTCATAACGAGAAATAATGAGAATATATTCCAACTATAAATAGAATAGATTCTAATTATGAGTTTATTTTGAGATTAACTGTTGAGTGGATGGGAGAAAATATTATAACACTCCCATTGGATTTTTACTATACGATTAGAATTCAGGCAGAAGAAAAAACTGACTACTATTTGGAGGTTAGGTTAATCAGAGATTGATACCAAAAAAAAAACTTGTCACTCATCGATTAAATTAAAACATTAACGATGAACCATATTGTGGACTATTGTTATTATTACAATTACCATCCTCAAAAATGGCAAAGTAGGGTCAGTATTCCCACAACTGGAGAACATATGGAACTCCAAAGAACTGTCACAAAATATGAAAGTCAGAATCTTCAATGCGAACGTCAAGACAGTCCTACTGTAGGGAGCTGAAACTTGGAGAACTACTACAACCATCATCAAAAAGGTACAAGTAGTTATAAATAGTTGTCTACGCAAGATAATCAACATCAATTGACCGTATAACATCAGCAACAAACTAGTGTGGGAGAGAACAAACCAGCTTCCAGCTGAAGAAGAAATTAGGAAAAGATGTTGGAAGTGGATAGGACATACATTACGGAAATCATTAAACTGCATCACGAGGCAAGCCCCAACCTGGAATTCTGAAGGGAAGAGGAAAAGAGGAAGGCCAAAGAACACATTACGTTGGGAGATAGAATCAGATATGGAAAGGATGAATAACAACTGGAAAGGGTTGCCCAGGACAGGATTGGATGGAGAGTGTTGGTGGGCGGCCTATGCTCTTCCACGAGGAGTAGCAGGCATAAGTAAGTAAGTACAGTAGAATAGATGTTATAGGTACTAGCAATCACCATGAAGATAAAAGATATTATGTAACGGTAATGAAATTAATTAGAGGTTGGGTAATCTTTCAACATGACAAAATATACAAATATATAAACATCAATATGATTATAAGAAAATGAAATAAAAAGTTGAGGACAGTCACAAAAATATCAAAAATTAGAATTAATAAAGACTATTGGATAAACCCCTAATCACCGTGTCAGGGAAAGGCCAACCACACTTTCTTTCTGTATAAATAGATCACATCGTGAACGCCTGATAGCGATTGCCTCTGTCAAACGGAGTAAAACTAATGTTTTTTTGTCTGTTAATTATTTTAAATGTTTTACTTACATCTACCTCAAGTCCACTATCCAAAACGTGGCTAGCAATCGCACTTATAAAAACTTTACTCCCTTCCAATCGTAGATTTCTAGGAATGTGTTCAGAAAACTTTGTGTGAACTCTCTATATCTATGGAAACTACTTTTTTATTTGTGTGGAGGCCCTCGCTATCTCAGGTATATGTGAATTCATAGATGCTTTTAGTTTTAAGTTTTCTATAGCTGATGAGAAACAGTGAAATAGACTGATGAATTGATTTTATTCTTTGGTTTATTACTCTTGCTCCGTTTAGATTTATATTGATCGAAATTAGCCGATTGATGTTAGACCACCATTGAAAACCTGGAAGCACTGGACGGCCATTTCGTCCTACTGTGGGACTCCTCAGCAATGCGCGTCCACGATCCCGCTAGCGGGATTCGGACCCGGAGCCTTCAGTCTCGCGCGGAAACGCTTAACCTACTAGAGCTGGTATCCAGCGATGTTGATGTCCAACCTCAACCAATCCACGAGATTGGGCCCTAGGCCCTGGGTTCGAATCCCGCGAGTGGGATTGTGGCTGGGCACTGCTGAAGAGTCCCATACTAAGACGAAATGGCAGCCCAGTGCTTCCAGGTTTCCAATAGTGGTCTAACATCAATCGGTTCATGATCTCAATCAATAACCTAATAATCTCCACAACCCTATACTGATAAATTTATATTATCATTCTCATACACATACATACAATCATATAAATTAAGATAAAATAATAGAAAAATTAATCAACTTATAATATTTTAATTAATAAGTCTGAAGCAATTTATCTAGCAAATACAATAAAATAAATACACATTATTTGTGCATTGTTTACATAACAGCATAAACATAAAATAACACCGTATAAAAGAAAAAATCCCCCGAAAAATTGAACTAAATAAACAATGTACGGTTAGATTGTTTTCGTTTTTTGGGGCAAACAAATACTCAACCGAGACCCCCCACCACCATTTTTTTATCATTCCATATTCATTATCATTACATTCAGTGTTATAAATCATTGTTTAGTAACACAATTGTATATAATTACAACATAAAAGTAGTAATATTAGTTACTTATAAAAAAAGAAGAGAAAGAGAGAAAAACAAAATAAAACAACTAGTAATAAACAAAAATGCATGCACAATTCATTCATGAGAATAAAAAGCTGTAATGATGATATAAAGCAGAAAAAAAACACATTGTAGTGGTGATTAGTTGACAATAGACATTATTAACACAGCTGTGTAATTAAGTCTTCCTGTCATGAAGTTTATGTTTCAAATAATAATATTAACCATAAGGCACAAAGAGAATTGTATATTTGTGTTATATTATTTCGGTATAAAAGGTATATATAACAAGCGCTTAGAGATATACATCATATATTACGACCGCTTGGATATATGCGTATAAAATATGCAAAAATGAAGAGAGAGAGAGAGGAAAAAACAGGGGAGATCATAACTTTTATTTATCATCAAATGAAAGAATTATTCCACATTTGCTGATATCCTCTCTCTCCCTCTCTTTCTTATCAATGTTTGATCAATATCCGTTTTCTTCAAAAGTTGGATTTAAAACATTAGTTGTTGGTGATTCGAAAATAGGATTTTCAGCCATTTCCCAACGCATATTTTCACCTTGTTGTTTAAAATTGGCCAATTCACGACGATCATCAATTGTAATGACTAGTTTATAAATTAATAAAAGTATTAATCCTCCAAGTACAATAGCTGCAATGACACCGAGAACAATGTAAAGAATATTGATTGTTTTTGTACATTCACTTTTTCGGATAATATTTAAATCAACCTATTTTTAGACAACAACAAAAAATGAAAATGATTTTTTAATACGATATACATTTTACAAGTTCTCATGACTTCCTTAGATATAGGTGGTTAATGGAGATTTGTTCATTTTGAAGAATGTTCTCTTATGATAGACGAAGTCACATACACATATACTAACTGACGAACCGTTAAAAAACTAGGACAGAACCGGGTCAACTTAAGGTATTTTGCTTTTAAGACGATGAATACACAATATGTCTCGTTACAGCATAGGTTGATACACGATACCAGTTAAAATAGTGCATTGAAAAACGTCTTAGGATCTTCTGATTAAGATATGGACATATAATGGAAAATCACATCGTATTGTGTGAGACTTTTTTGGTTGTGTGCTGTGTGTAAATTAAACCAGCTTATGTTTATGTAGTACCATAATTTATCTTAATAGAGGTAATCGCTTACAGTTCCCAATGAGATCTTAGTTAACATATCTAGCCCAAAAATAAGTTGATGGAAGTTAATAATTTTTTCATGAGCGCAAAAAAGCTGTTACGGTCTACAACGTGACATCGAATATAAGCTGATTATTGTTTGTAGCATAATTCTACGCCCGTTATCTCTGCATATATATGTCGAAACAGACTGGTAAATTGTAGTTTTTAACATCAATAGGATGATAAAAAAATAATTACAAACAATACACTTAAAACGATTATGTAATAAACAGTTTTGGTTAGATTAAATAAATATATACATAGGTTTGCAGTAAATTTTCATAATGACTAAAATCAGTTAATTGTAAACAATAGGATTGAATATGTTCTTTATTCAAAAAGCTCAATCAATACACATTTTTATTTATCTTATATGAACACATAAACATTGGTACAAAATATATATGCACCATACTAGTTACTTGATTTGTGTGTGGGCTGTGATACTACCCGGGTGCCCAAACCGAAGCACGTAGTTTTCTTAGGAAGCCACACCCGGAGCCTTTGATCTAAAGGTACAATCAACAAGTCATACGAGCAATGTAAGGAAACGCAGTCCCATGGTAGCTGGTCAACAATAGGTTCATACGACATTTGTTACTTCATGATCCGGGAGCCCATGTACACCATTGGTTTGGAATCAGGGTTTTCCAACTCCTATAGGTGGATCCTCCATACCCAACAATCCGGTTAAAGCGCCGGACATTCGCTTTAGGTCCTCTCAATTCGGTAAACAACAGTAATGCTGCGAGAAGGCAGTGAGTAGGACTTCCCTGACAGTGGTTGTATGCACGTGGCTATGTGAGAGAATTTCGAGAGGGAGAGCGAACTCTCGCCACCCTCAGCCGTACTAATACACATTGTACTCGTGATTCGACATGAACAATCTTGTAATCGGACGAACTAAGTTGGTGAATTTTCAAAACGCCTATCAACCAACTTATTATTCTGGTCGTTTGTTATGAATGAAGAGTTAATACAAACACTTGTATATAATATAATTTTTTTTTAAAAAGAGAATGTTCATCATAAACTACTTACTTTACGATTAACATAGATTGCATCAGAGTAACGATAGGTGAAGAATACTCGACAATTATCTTCCGTGTAAATAATGCAAAGATTTGAATCATCTTTTTGTTCACTAACTTCAACTAGTTTCACTCGACTCGTATCTACAACAGTTCCATTACATGAAGACTCGCATTGTGTAGCAGCTAATGCATACTCTTTTGATGAATAAATCGTTGACATAGGTTGTCTTTGGTTGAATTTCAATGATTCATCCTCTGATTCACTGTCTGTTTTTGTGATCTCATCATTTTTCAACTTTTCATCCATATCAAAACTTTTCACCAATGAATCACGTAAACATAGAACACACTTTTCTACATCACGATCTGTACATAAAGCAGATTCACCACCTTGAATTTCATTGCATAAATGACCAGTATAACCACTGTTACAGAAGCACTGACCACAGTCACATACACCACGACCAGAACATTTAGGGCCCTAAATATTAAAAAAATCCAAATAAACAAGTTAAGTCGAAAATTATTCTGATTTTAAAATGAAATAATTTAGAACAAGTAGCAAATAGAGTAAATTAACAAATGGGCACCAATGGGCAAAGGATCCACTTGTTTTTCCCTACAATAAACATCATATTTATAAACACATGACTAATGTGGAAAATTAGCACAGTATAACTGAACTATTTTGAGTCTACCATAGATACCATTCTGACTGGAATAATATGTGCCTTTAACTACCTGTCTCAGTCGTTAAGTTAGTCGTAAAAATTTAAATAGACTATCAAAGAAAATTAACAAATGAGTGAAGTAAGCATCATTTGCCAAATAAATTCGTGAGAAGGACATAAAACTTTCAAGCCATAGACAGATTTTCTAAATCTGACAGTTTTAACAACATTCATCCGGCAATATAACATAAGGTTCAAATCAGTGAAACGACTCATACATTTGAAATGGATTTAATGCTTATTGTTTCTACGTGATTAGTTGAGATTTATTATTTATTTAAACATATAAACATTGGTACAATTAGGCACCAAATAGATATGCGCCACACTTTTTCGTTCGGTATGTGTAAGAGCTGGGATACTCTACCCGGGTGCCAAAACTGAAGTAAAGTTCTAGCATTAAATCTTAAACTGAATTTCGAAATGGTGTATAGTAACAATTAACTGTGCGACATTGATAATTAATCATATCATATCAAAATATCACTATGAAGAATACAGTCCAGTAACTCAAAGAATAATTTGTTTATTCAAGCAATCCGTAATACCGACACGTGTTTTTTTTTAAAGAGAAAGTAAAATATGACATACTGATGGATTGTTTGGATCAATACATTGTTTCTCGCTTTCCATACAATCACAGCGATCTCCAGTATAACCTGGCTTGCATTCACAGGTGCCATTACATTGACAAGTCCCACGTTGTGGTCCTCCACAAACTTGATTATCATCTGAAGCACGTTTACATCCATGTCGATCACATTCACAAAAAGTACCTTCATAACGTGCTAGATTACATTTACACTTTCCACATACACAACGACCACGACCTGAGCAAGGCTATAAAAAGATATTTTCAAGAGAATGAACTTTTAAAATGATGATGTTATGGGTTTGAACTAAAAATCACCTAGAAATTTCGTTTACATTCAAATTTAAATCTATGGTCAATCGAGTTTCTATCTATACCAACTGTTGACTTGCAAGATTACATTTATAATCAGATTTCAATTCGAAACTGAAGTATTATATCATACAATTATGTAACTGAGAGACATGCTTTTGTTCATATTTTATCACAGTATCTCACCAGTCAGTCTTTTCAACTCTAATTCGAATGAAGTCCAATTAAGAGGAAAAAACAATTAGTCAGATATTAGAGTATTTTTAGAAAATTAATTTAATGAACTTCGAAATTATAAAGAAGTCGAACAAACCAACAGCTCCAATTCTATTGTCGAAGGAATCTCCTATATGACTACTGGTTTGTGTACCAGATTTTGAGCCACTATTACAGTATGGAAGCTAAGGACATTATCCGACTACTTAGTTAGAATGTGGAGTTAAGGTTTTTGACTGAATTATTGAGCTATCTTCAAGATTAAGTGAATGAAGCTGATACATAAATGTAGTATAAGAAATCATTGGTCAACACGAAGTCGGAATTTTATTAGTCTTGTTATATATTCAAGTAGAACGCTGAATCAATAATTTAGATGACACTGTTCTTCAAATATCCGCAGTCGAAATTCCATTATCATTAAGTGTGAAATTCACTAGTCAAGTACAATATACACACAATCTGTTTTACCAAGTGTTACAGAAATTATGTTAGGTTCTGCAGTCGTCCCATTCAAATACAGGCATATATGATTCCTAAACGCTTGCTCAAAACTCTGTACGAGTGAGAAGGCTAAGAATGAGTAGGAAGCTACAATCGGCAAGTTAAATAAAAACGTGTACAAATCAGTGGTATACATATACGTCGCTCCCTCAAATATATATAACCTAAGACCTTCATACCTACCACCATCGGCTTCATAGTGTACTTTGTTTGCCACTTCTTATCATGGGCTTGACTTTGAAACAGCACATGAGGACAGGCACAGGATATATATGAATTCACCCGGCCTATTAAATAATCATTCCTACGCTTAGTGAATGAATGGAGTTTAATGAAATAAAATTTAAAGAAAGACGACATCAAGCAGGAGGCCCCCGGATATAGTGTTATTAATGAAAGACTGTTTGATGTGTACACCATAAAGATAAACACCAATGGTCCACCATACCTCTTTAACTCCATATTCAGTACATTGTGCTAGCATAGCAGCATCCCCTTCAGCACTAGCCTCAGCAGAACATTCACAAAAGTCACCAGAGTACCCAGATTGACATTTACACTCACCACAATGTAAATGTCCACGTAATTGACATCTTGCAGAGAAAGGAGTTAAAGAATTGGGCATTGGCATTTTCTCGCAGCTAGGACAAGAACAAGCTGTCTGAACACCAAGTACAGCCTACGGAAGTAAGGACAATTAGATAGTTTATTATTCAATTCCACGTAAAAACAGTGCTAAAAATTGAATCTGTTAAAAATTTACGCTGGTAAAAACTAAACTATACTGATGAGCTTTGATGTACCAATCAGGATTCTTGCACAAAATGTAAAGAGCAATGAAATCTGGCAAGTAGCTTATCAAAAAATAAGCAGACTCTATATCTAATCCCCAAAATGGTTAAAACTGATACAAAACATCGTTTGTGCCACCATTCAGTGAATGTAAAATGATGTGCAAGCTGAACTGTTAGAAATGCCTGCATCTGCTGTGGACTGTAATTGAGAGAATTTGATGTGATTCAATCCAGTCCTAACATCAAAACTACTGACACTAACCTTCCAAACCGTGACATTTAACCCCAATTCATGACACTAGACCAACTCCTAATACCCAACCGTAGTCTTTTTTCGTCTATTAAAATAAACAATTTAATATACAACGGTTTATTAATCATCTCAAAACTACTTATCCATTGTAAAATTATCACTTTTTATTGTTAACTGTTTTGTAGCTGGCTTATTTATTTATTTATTTATTTGGACACATAAACATTAGTACAAGAGGGCACCAAATATATATGCACCACACAATAACAATGAGGCTAGTAGCAGTTACCAATGATTTGTGTGAGAACTGTGATACTACCCGGGTGCCCAAACCGAAGCACGTAGTTTTCTTAGGAAGCCACACCCGGAGCCTTTGATCTAAAGGTACAATCAACAAGTCATACGAGCAATGTAAGGAAACGCAGTCCCATGGTAGCTGGTCAACAATAGGTTCATACGACATTTGTTACCTCATGATCCGGGAGCCCATGTACACCATTGGTTTGGAATCAGGGTTTTCCAACTCCTATAGGTGGATCCTCCATACCCAACAATCCGGTTAAAGCGCCGGACATTCGCTTTAGGTCTTCTCAATTCGGTAAACAACAGTAATGCTGCGAGAAGGCAGTGAGTAGGACTTCCCTGACAGTGGTTGTATGCACGTGGCTATGTGAGAGAATTTCGAGAGGGAGAGCGAACTCTCTCCACCCTCAGCCGTATCAGGGAATTTGGGGGCTGAACAGTTTTCTGATTATCTACTCGTCAGTATGGTTCAGTTTTACTACGTTGTTAAATATGGGTTACCACAGTACCAGGAATCTCTAATCACACCACAACTCTTAATAAATTAAAATAATGGCTAGCTACAAACAGATTGTTTAAATGAGATAAACCTACAGATAACCAAGTTTAAACAGTCCAATGCTCAGAATTAAAATTGGACAGTGGGTAGCAGCGATATGTAAGATGAGTGTTTCATCTTGTTTCGAAAACGTCAGCCGGATGTAGCTGCATCCTGAGATTCATATATGCCAAAACAGACTGATCAATTGCAGTTCCTAATATCAGCAATGCGAAGATCTAAATCTATTCAAATAAAATAAAGTTTATTTCGATTCTACAAGTTAGTGGCTATCTGGACCCAGCAGCTAGCTTAATGGATAATTTATTAGGGGTTTAAAACAAAAGGTACTGGGTTCGAGTCCCAAAGTGAACATTAACATGGGGATACAGGTACAATCAGCTGACGATAACCAAATAGAACGGAATGCCAGTCCCGGATTCCGTCGCTAGTCACTATTCATCCTTAATTAAAATCTCGTGACTCAATGACAAACCAGACTCATCAGATACAATACATTAATTATATCAACAACTGGAAGATTTAAATCCTTACAAACAAGATGTTAACTGTGCAGCTGATAAAAAAGAATGTAATACAATACACCAGAGTAAACGTAATTTACTCGTATACTTACTTGGTCTTCTAATGCTACCATTTTTAAAGTGACTTTTTTAACACCTTCAAAACATCGTTTAGCTTTGATAGATATTTGATAACCTATTTTACCACCAACTGGATGATCATTACATACTGTTTTCTTTGAGAATTCATTTTCATCATTACACTTGGAAAATACTTGAACCTGAAGAGGGAATAATCAAAAACAGCCGAGTAGAAATAATTTAAATAGATTATTTTTTTATGTGTATAACAATCCTTCGGATAATAAAAATAAAAATAAATTTCAGAAAATGTATGGATCATAATATCACACACGGAGTTTCCGTATGAAACTAAATTTAAAAGTAATGATCTACGTATTGAGTACATCAGTACTATCAAAAGAGATAGTAAGTGGTAAAATTCTGACTTTCAAAAGCACGAAGTTACCTCAGATCTAAAAATATATCACGCTAATAAATTGTAACTAGAACATGACGTAGGTTAATAAATATCAACTATGTGTCATCCAACATCTGTCAATTATACAAGATTAAATCTAACAACAACACAATAAAAACTATATTATTTCAATTTTTAATATACTCAACCTTATTTACTAATCGTAAAATATTCTTTGCAGTGGTGACTGGATATAGTGAACATATAAGTTAGTTCTAAAGGCTGGTCTTAGTGAACGTCACTATATTTTATAAGCAGAGTTGATGTTCGCTCTGAGATGCAGATACACCTAACTGACAAGTCCCAAATAGGATGAAACGCGCGTCCTGGATTCCACTTCTAGCCACTATCCATCTTTGCTTATAAAAGCTTGTGAAATAGGGCAATATCGAGGCATACGCACAGTATGCACATATGCCAATAACAGACTGATCAACTGCAGTCTTAAACCTCAATGGGAAGATACAAGCAAAACAATTCCAAGTCACTATATTTTGCTGCACAAATCGGATACCTCATTTTTGTTCTACTCATTATTTTTATTTGCTTTGTTTCCTCTTTTTCTTTCAGTGGTTAAAACTTTCTACAACCCAAAAGCATTAACTACGGTGTCACGATAAACATATTTGTCAGGAAACTTCAAAATCCTGAACTTTGTATTTTTATACTCAAGTAAGCGTGCACTCGTAAGTTGTCAGAGCTATGACCTTTTTTTAGTCTTAATTAATGTGTGTTGTATATAGAAACAAAGCTTTTGATAGGGAGCAATTAGGAACTAGATTATTAATTAAAACAATATGACAAATTCACTTATTAATTATTTCAATATGTTGTATTCTGATCATTTTCGCTCTGTATTTACTCAGCTTTAACATTTGTTCAGCGTAAAATTCGTTTTACGTTATAATCATTTAAATGTAATTAATAACTACCGAAAAGAAAAACTGTACATAAAAGCGATATTTAACCATAAAATACATATTTTTAATGGTCGTAGGACAGATTTGTCTTCTTTAATCATGGGAGCCTGGATGAAGAGTATTGGGAGCATAATTGTGAAAAGTAATTGAATATGTTGACTAATTGTGATCACCCTTGCGCCCACCATTTCATTAATGTTTTCGAATAGCGTAGCAAAGAGCGAGTTATAGCAGCTTTACTTAAATATATGTCCATTCGCGTAACGTCATCAACTTTGAAATAGTAAGTCCAATTCATAGACTACAAAATGGTTTCTTGTTTATAGTTATTGATGATCACTAATCAATCAGGGATCAACTAGTTAAGGACAAAAGTTATCCTTAAATAATCCACCGACTTAAAGTTATTTATCAAGGAGATTTTAGAGAAGTAACACACTGAATGAAATCAAATATTAACGTCAAAGACACATAAAATAAGAATATTTAATAACGGAAAAACAACTTACTTCCAGATAATCTGCATCATAAGTAGCCATTAGCTCAGCTTTGTTAACAATTTTATCATAATTATCACGTAATAAGCGAACAATGTTGGTTGAACTATCAGTTAGGATGCCAACAGCTGCGCTTGGCAAGAATTCAGCCAATTTAGTATACAAACCGTGTAATTTACTATCAACTGCAAAAATCACGCTGATGTCAGCTTCAGTTAGAACTTGAGCAATCTGTGCAAACAAAAAGATAAACTCAGTTGTGGAAAATAACAAAAATTTTGAAAATGAACTAAGCATCAAGTAACCAAGATAAGTGAATCGTTTCAATAAATATGAGAAATAGGATCTACACGCTAGTGGTAATACTAGTGGATGTTTTACTTTTGATATTACATAACTACCGAAAAGATTTATTCTAGGATTCAACGACTTTATGGACTGCTGACGTTTGGGTTCAGTCTCTTCCCCAGTTTTTTTCAACCCACTCTCTCAGACAATATCTCACTTCGAGGTTGGCGACGGTTTAATACGTGTAAGACATGTCCTAAACACCTGTCTATGGGGATTTACAATCTTATCGACTGAACTGCCACAATTGCCTAGTAACATAATTCTAGCCTCAAAACTCTTCATTTGGTAATTCCGATATACAGAAAAATGCTTCTAATGATTCATGTACTAATAACTTATTAGTGCCCTCTACTTTTGGAGGCTACGTTTTAAAGCCATAAAACAAAACAAAGCGAACTACTAAGTAGTATACTAGTCCTTCGTTTGGCAAATGAAAATCTCACCTACAACCCAGGTAGTGGAAGCTGGAAAATGCCGAGCGAATTTTATGGGTCCGTGTTGATATTTCCTCAGATACCAACCAAACAGGGGTGAGACTCCCAAGATAAGTGAAGTGGTTGATGTGTTTCTTAATATTAGTCTATGCGTTGATGTAGAAAAGCTGTGAGACAAAATTTCGCATTTAGAGAAGAAACCTATCCCAAGAGGTCTTCCATTGTTGCTCAAGATGACTAGAGGCTGCGTGACTTCAGCATCCTCAGCAAACATAACTACGTTATCTAGGTCTTCTAAGTCTATAAGTGAATCTTCCAACAGAAGATTAATCTCTGAAAATTTAAACGGATAAATCTCCGTTTCTATTAATTTGAGTAAAAGCACACAGAACAGGTTACCCTGGCAAACACTTGAAAATGCCAGTTCGTCATAATCCCTTTTTCGAATAGGTATTCAAGTAAAGAACCTTCGCAAAATTTAAGTACTTCTTTGGTATAATTTTTAATAACAAGCTGCTACAAAACCCCTGTCTACTAAGTATAAAACATGCTAGTAGCCACATCACTCAACATACAAAATCGATCTTCTATGAAGCGAGTTCATCATAAAGAACACAGAAATATACGTAGACATTATTAGCGAGTGTAGGAATTGTATCAAGTGCCTTAACACATTAAACTAGAACCTCGGAATGAGAGTGAAAGAAATTTTTTCAGTCCACTTAAAAAACGGTTACTCATAATAAAGTCTTCTCACCTCTCCAACGCTAGGATAATCAGTTTGATCAGAATTATGCCAGCCGAGGTACTTAAGTGAAGAATTGAATCGATCAGCCTGATAAGTTAATTGACAAGTAGTTGGAGGAGGCAATATTAATCCGGCTATTCGACCATCACCAGCCAAATGAAATCCACCATCAGAAGCAAATAGCACAATTTTACGGGCACCAGCACGCCATCCAATAGCTTCACTGCATCGGGCAACCTGAAGTAATGCGTCCATACCACCCTCTGGACTATCCAGATTACCTGAAGGCTAACAAACAAAAGGTCGAAAAGATCACATTATTTGTTTAAGTTCATTCAATAAATAAAATGGTAGTGTAATAATTTTCAACAAAACAACACTTAACTCATCACCATTACTACTCGTGAGGAAGCAAATTTTCTTATGGAGTAATATGGTCTGTTGTCTGTTCAGTTCACCAAAAACGCACCTAAAATTTAACTAAGCGAAATGACTCAAAACTAGAGACTGTATGTCTAATTCCGGCTGTATTACGTACTGCTTATGATACCCGACCGTTGTTGCTACCTTGACGTGGTGGTCGGGCTTGCCTATCGTGATGAAGCAACCGAGCTACACTGGCTGGAACAACCGTTCCTCAAGGTCCTACCATGTCAGACAGGTCGGTTGAAGAGCGGTAAGACTAAAAGCAACAAACCCAAGGTCCGAAGGCGAAGTCGTACTGCTGACTGTACAGAGGTGTGACAGCAGTAAGGTGTTTCCTTCAGACAACCAGCATGACAGCGATGCTGCCTTCCCACAAGGAGGGGTGGGGTTAGAAAAGGTCGACCCTAAAAATGCACACCTCGCCTTATCCCACGGATATCCGTCTCCGGCGGTAAGGTCCCAATAAGTACGGAGCTAACACAAAAATTACCCATAACAAGGTCATGTGTGACCGACCTCAAGCAGTTGTCCCTTGGGCACTGCGGTCACGCTCTCAGGTCACTAAGACCACCTTTAATCCAAATTCCTTTTCAGGTACCTCCAGAACAACCCTTCCACGGTGTGGGCAACCGGGAAGTGAAAACCGCCCTCATACCTCTAACAGCACTCAAGACCACTGTATTCATAATCAACCTTCCTCTTCAATTCCTATTATTCCTCCTACATCGACTTTCAACTTTAAATTTCCTCTCTCGGCTTCCACCTCAAGTGTCACCATAGCCAACGATTCTAGTGCGCAAAATACTGTCCCAGGTCTACTGAAACCTCGCTCCAAAATACACATTGGAGCCTTCAACGTACGCACCCTATGTCAAATCGGTCAGCAGGCTTCCTTGGCTAAAACCCTAGAGTCTCTTACCATTGACGTGTGCTGTGTCTCCGAAACACGCATACAGGATTCCAGTGTGGTCATTCACTTGACCTCACCTCGGCAAAACGGAGAGCCAACGAGGTACACCCTTCGTGTATCTGGTGACCCGATGGCAAGTTCTCGTGGACTGGCAGGTGTAGGCATAGCACTAAGCATGAGGGCCGAACAAGCACTGCTAGAGTGGATCCCCGTCAACAGTCGTCTATGTGCTGTTCGGCTGAACGGCTACGTAAGAACTCGGAAGGATAGGGACACACGTCGTTGCCTTTTTGTCGTTTCTGCCTACGCTCCCACTGACTGCAGCTCAGATGATGTGAAAGATGAATTTTACAGAAAGCTGTCCGAACTTCTTCAGAAAGCTAAACGCTCAGATATAGTACTCGTAGCAGGTGATTTTAATGCTCAGATAGGGAGTTTAAACCAAACAGAAAGGCATTTAGGTGGACATTTTAGTATTCCGACACAGCGAACAGATAATGGTGATCGTCTGCTGCAGCTATGCTCAGACAATCGTTTATTTTTAGCAAACACAAATTTTAAGCATAAGGAGAGACATCGTCTAACATGGCGACCCCCTACACCAAACCAACGATGGACTCAAATAGACCATATTGCCATCAGTCATCGTTGGAGAGGGTCGATAGAAGATTGTCGCTCATTTTGGAGTACCTGCTTGGACTCCGACCATGCCCTAATACGGGCACGCATCTGCTTGCGCCTCACTGGACGCAAAAAAGCCACATTAAAAAGACCCGTTAGAACTGAGTTGAGTAACGAGAAAACCAAAAGTAGGTTCCAGGAACAACTGAGGTCACACTTAGGTAGTTGTGAAGACGAGGCTGACCCAGATGTTGCTTGGAAGGGCATACAATCAGCTGTGGAAACAGCAGTGACATCTATTAGTGACTTAAGCCACAGAGTTGCAAGGAACCAGTGGATTTCTTCAAGGTCTGTCACACTGATGGATTCTCGCAAACTCGTCCCATCAGGTCCTGAACATGATGAAGAGCGAAAACAAATCAGATCTAGGTTAAGAAAAAGTCTAAGAAACGACCGTGAGCAGTGGTGGGCATCGAAAGCAAAAGAGATGGAAAAGGCGGCGACTATAGGGAACACAAGACAGCTTTACAGACTAATAAAAGAAACTGGAATTAATAAGTCAAGTGTAAGTGAGATTATATCGGAAAAAGACGATACACTCATCTGCTCCAAGTCCAGGCGTCTAGAACGATGGGCGGAACACTTTAGGGAACAGTTCAGCTGGCCTTCAGCTACTCTACAACTACCCTCCATTCCCAGACAGTGTGAATGGAACATTGAAGTAGGTCCCCCGACTCTTGCTGAAGTTCAAAAGGCTATAGTTAATCTGAGACGAGGAAGGGCAGCTGGTCCAGATGGATTGGCTCCAGAGGTCTTCAAGGATGGTGGTCCAATTTTAGCGATTAAGTTGACTAATATTTTAGCTAAGATCTGGGAATTAGACTTTATCCCATCTGACTGGTCGCAATCACTTATCGTCCCAATATATAAGAAAGGGTCAAAATCATCCTGTGACAACCACAGAGGGATTAGTTTAACAAACATAGTATCTAAAATACTGGCCTCGATAATTATCAAACGCCTAACTAAGACTCGTGAACTACAAACTCGAGAGAACCAAGCTGGCTTTAGACCTGGTCGTGGCTGCATCGACCACATATTCACCATTCGTCAGGTTCTAGAACACAGACATACCTATCGGCGTCCGACGATGGTGGTATTTCTTGACTTAAAAGCAGCATTTGACTCTGTAGACCGCGAGACTCTGTGGCAGTGTCTGTCATTGAAAGGCGTACCTCAGAAGTACATAAACCTTGTGAAGGCTCTTTACTCGAACACCACTAGTCGAGTCAGGGCTTATGGCGAACTGTCATCTACTTTTGCAACCTCAAGTGGTGTCCGTCAAGGCTGTCCACTTTCTCCATTTCTGTTTAACTTCATCATAGACCTATTGATGGAAATAACACTCTCGTCGACTGAATTCTCGGGTATTGATCTCCTTCCAGGAGGTCCACTTATCGACTTAGAATACGCAGATGACATAGTCCTGTTTGGTGAAGACGCTGACAAAATGCAGAGTCTTCTGGTAGCACTGAGCAACAATGCCAGAATGTTTGGGATGCGCTTCTCTCCCTCTAAATGCAAGTTGTTGCTTCAGGACTGGTCTGGGTCAACACCTGAACTAAGGATAGGGAGTGAAGTAGTTGAACGCGTTGACAACTTCACTTATCTTGGAAGTCTGATCAGCCCTAATGGGTTAGTGTCTGACGAAATCTCAGCACGGATTCGAAAAGCTCGTTTGGCTTTTGCCAACTTACGTCACCTTTGGCGAAGGCGAGATATCCGTCTATCAATAAAAGGACGAGTATACTGCGCGGCAGTTCGTTCTGTTTTAATTTACGGCAGCGAAACATGGCCTTTAAGAGTAGAAAACACCCGTAAGTTACTAGTATTTGACCACAGATGCCTTAGAAATATTGCTGGCATCTGCTGGGATCACCGGGTAAGTAATAGTGAGGTTAGACGCAGGGTATTAGGGAATGATGGTAAATCAGTTGATGAGGTTATGAATCTTCATCGACTGAGATGGTTGGGCCACGTGTTACGTATGCCTGAATACCGATTACCACGACGTGCAATGCTATCCGGTATTGGAAATGGTTGGAAGAAAGTTAGGGGCGGCCAAACCAAAACGTGGCATCAGTGCCTGAAGTCACTAACTTCTAGTCTGAGCCATGTTGGTAGATGCAGACTACTTGGTTGGGGTCCGCGTGACTTTCGTAACCAATGGTTGGAGACTCTTGGTGACATGGCTCAGAATCGATCACAGTGGCGTCGGTGTATACACTCCCTGTCTTCCCTTAAACTAAGAGACTAAAATCACTTCATTCTTTCTGTCTACGAACTAATTCTTCCTTCCTATACTATATCGTTATTGCAACCTTTGACCTAACCACTCCTATGAATCCGGTGTTCATCTTGCTGTGCTAATGAGGTATGGCAACCTGGACCGATGCACATATGTGCCTGGTCCTACGTTGTAGCTGACTGACTGACTGACTGACTGACTGCTTATGATAACTCTGAGTTTAAACGAGTATGAAGTGTTAGATCAGTGAGACTAAGGAAAAATAAATGCAGGAGACAAGGAAGAAAGCAGAAAACAATCAATTAACATCCCTACTTTTCTGAACGAACTTCATATTTCAAAGTGGAGTGCAACAACATACCGATGCACTATTATGTGAATTGGTTAATACTTCTTAAAGTACCAGCAAAAACCATAATAAATTTGCTTGTTTTTCCAATTTAGGTGAGCAACCACAGTGCAAAATGTACTTGTTAGGAACCCGTCGAATTTATTTTTCGAAATAATGGGTTTTTCTAACTCTCAGTTACTTTTTAAGTGAATTCACAAGGGACGGAGACTCAAAACTTGATATACGTTTATCTGAATAAATTAATATTATATCCTTCTTACTAAAGTTGGAAGGTGAAATCACCACAAATTTGACTCACCTACGAAAGACCATCATTTTCGCAAGGGCGCAGTCAACAGTAAAAACTCGTGCTTAACATCGCTGTTAGAGTTATGGTTTCTATTATTCATACAATAACTTCTGACAACTGCACTGATTTTCAACTAACCGTTGTATCATAGCAAGAATCCAATGAGCAAATGTTTAGACTAGTATAAGCCCAATGGGTCTATGAAATACACGAAACCATCATTCTAAAGTAATGGGTGCAGATGGAAACTTGTCGCTCAATCCAAGAAAGGCTATGATTTTTTTCGCAACACACCTTGAGACACTTCCAAAAAACAGGCTATACAAAAATTTTAGTACGGTGCGGATAGACCATAAACAAAGCTACAGATAGACTAAAACTTACACGTGCTACTTTTGTTTTTTCGCGGAACTCCTCAAAATTATCGGTTAGTGACAAAATGTGTTTGTACAAGAATGGAGGATCGCAATGGAGATTTTTAGTACCAACATTCAAACATGGATTTCGAAGGTATTCTGGAGTCGGCACAACAAAGGGAAACACTGGTTTGTCTACAAAGGCGCCGAATCCCATCTGCAACTTTTTTGTTACATTACGCATAGTTAACACGATATCGTTAGTCAAACGAGAAACTGTTTCCAAGTCATCAATCATTGTATAACTGAGATCTGTCAAAAAATAAAGGTCAACGGGGTAATCCGAAATAGACTGGAATGTGAAATTGACCATCATAGTCCCTCCAGGTCTGACCTTTATTGATTGTGATCGTGGAGTAAGTTGTATATCTTCGGCTAAACTGGCTTGATCAAGAGGAACCCCATGATCTGAAAATATTTATCATGCACAAATTTATAGTCAAAACAACAAATAAGATTAAAAATTAGCCCATTCCTCCCAGAATACTAAAAACTGAGAATGATGAGACGACTCCTTGGATTATTAAAAACATAGATGTATGTAACTTGGATGATTTTCATCCAAAGATTCATTTACATGGCAAACGCCAGGTAACCAGATGTCAGGCACACCTATGGTGGAGGCGCCCAACATTTGTTTGCGTGGCACACAGAACTGAATAAAATATTGACACATTTCTAAGTAGAAACTAACTTCGAACCACTAATGACACGAACCACAAATGAAATGAAAACTTTTTATGGTGGTAGATACCATTTTGGTTACGAATCAACACGTAGCACTTAACCCAAACTCACAGTAAAGGTGGGACCTATCATGAATACCCGTCAGTTTGTTACCTTACTTCATCTGCGCAGGAAGAAACCAATATGTTTAAAAGGAGGAAAATTTTATAAAACCTGGTGAAAATCTAAATATGGCAAGCGTAAAGTTAGGAATGACACTTGAGTCAAGGCTTACAGGATAAACGAAACTGAGACACTTAACTAGTTCGCACTATATAATACGTCTCCAAACACATTACAGCATTTACAGGCCCCAACAACGGGACCATCCTAGGCTACTAAAGGAACTAGCATCTGTCATGGAAAATCCTTTGACTTTCTGCAATCAGAGATAGATTACCAGGCGAATGAGAAAACGATGTAGTAAGTCCCGTCTTCAAAACCGGTGTGTGGCATAACCCTGAAAATTATCGTTAAGTTTGACTAGTATATTTATCGAAATGTGAGATTAGTAAAGAATTATTCAAATATCGGGATGAAGATTTGATACTTTCCGGAAAGCAACATGATTATAGAACACTTTACTTATGTACCACGAACCTACTGTTGACACAAAAGCTAGTGTGACTGGTGGAGCAAAAATCTGCCTGTGAATATAACCGCAAATGATTTCGGTAAGGCTTTTGACAAGGACTCATGCCAGATTACTATGTAAGTTAAAAAGTGTCAGAGTTCAAAAAACTAATTTTGTGGACGAACGGATTAGCTTTAAGTTGTCTGGGTGGAAAACTGATCGAATATTTGACGTTTTAAGTGTTTGCTAGATTGAAATTTGAATATTCCACATACACAACCTGCACTTAAGTGAAAAATAGACCGTTATTGGACAAGAATTCAGTAAACCCCAACCACGTTGGTTTATGGAGTCTCAAAGCTCCCATACAACAAGACTATGCAAGCAAAAACTGTTCGCCTTATCATCAAGGACTAGAAGTGAAGTAATTACATACTTTAAACTACTTTTGAACCTGATATGCCGTCATTTTCCATGTTCTTAAAACCGAAAGAAATATATGAGAACACTCGTAAACCCGTGACCAACTAGTTGTGTTTTTACTTTAATCGATAGTATGTTGGACCATTTGACTCGAAATGTTGTTTAAGCACCATTTATCGACACATTCGTGTCTTAAAATGGGACTGACTTAAACAGCTATTCTACCTCTCGTCACTACGATTCGGATAAGACATGTGTGCGATGTCCTGTTTTCCATTGCTTATGACGTACAATAATTACCCTACGTTTTAAGGAAATAGGAAAAATGACAGCGAATAACAAAACTTGCTTATAAACCAAGACATTGTCAGTGAAATATATGACATATGAATCACTGTCTTAGTAAATAGAGCGCTCACCTAAGAACACAGATTCCACGTCCTCTATACTACTTTGTGGACATCCACGAGCCAATAAGACTGAAGATGGAGCACATCGGAACCCTGGACCTTCTTTCGTATCATCAAATTCATCAGCACTACACCACGAACAGGCTGGACGTATCCCCATGCATTCACTACAACTTTTTGCGCGGCCGCAGCTTGGTTCTTTCTGTGCATTTTGAGAGTTCAGTAGAAATAAGAAATAAATAACACAAGGAACCACACGAAGAGGATGAACTCGTCCCATGTTACGCACAAACTAAATCCGGTGCGAATTTTTAACCAATGTCTAATATCCACATTAGTCCTCGATGTTAACGACTTACAATAATCTTCTCCACTTTTATGCTTGTGATGCGCTAGAAGCGCTTTGGAATTGGTAGTACATGATTTTTGATCGCAATGTTTGAACCTTAAAGGGCTAGCCAACAGGGTATCGTAAAAAAAAAGAGACAATCTTGCAGAGCTAAACCTTCGGCTGAAGAGTTAGACGACAGACCTGAGAGTCCTTAGTTGTTTGTTGACGATTTCTTGTGAGTAAATGCTCTTGAGGCAAGTGAACACTCAAAAATCCGAAGTCAAAGTGGAATAGGGATATTCTGACGTGATTACACAAGCACAGACATGGTGCACGAATGATCACAATGAAGCCTGCTTAAAACGAATGTCCTATTATACTGTATGGTGGGCTAATGAAAATGGCAAAACCCTGCTATTACAGACAAATGACTAATCCGATATATTAGCTGATTCTATCTTAACCACGGTGGAACACTTTTCATATCAATTTTATGGAATCCGCTCTATGCACTGATGTCAGTACATCATATAACCGTCGCTTCTAGCCACATGAATCAGGTAATTATCTGACATATGGGCTGAGAAGACTAAGTGCAACCCATCCAAACATGGTGATCTAACTCACTTGACTGATTCCGATTTTCAATTCAACAGTGAAAGCCAGCGGCGACAATAAGTAGTAACCAGGTCAAATAACAAAACTGCAACCATGGGTGTGTACAGAGATGTTTGGGAAGTCGGAAAGTAACTAATAGAAATTTCGCCCCGATCCGTATGACTTCCAAATTGTTCTGTTGTTTCTTAACAGTACAAACACAGGCGTCTATAAAAAGCCAACCTCTATGAGCTTACCAGAGACCGTCCAATGTAAACCAGGATTCAGACAACTCAGTCGGTCTTTTCTTTGACTAAAAAGGTAAGTAGTTAATAGGCAGAAACACAGTTTTCCAGTATTTAAAATCTTTGTGCAGGTCTTGTGTGAATCAATTGATTTTCCTTCTCATGTTTTTTGGAGTACTGTATCCAGTGCGAGTAATCTAGCCAGTCTGTCGCATTAGTTTCAGTTAATTTGCTTCCAAGTGCACTTAGATACATATTGGTCATCAAGGTACAAATACATACACAATGACTAAACTGAGCTACCTGCTATCTAGATGGAATGATCTAGGTGCCATGATTAGCCAGGATTTGTTTGCTACTGAACACGTCTGTAATATATATGCCAAAGGTTCCAGAACCCTATAATTAATACGCTTAAGCCGTAGCAACGTGGTTACTACGACTCTTGACACCTTATGAGGTGATTTTTTGTCCTAAAATCGATGTTACTAGTCGGTATATGTGCCGATGCGACTTCGATATAAGCTCAAATATATTAGGTAGTCATTTCATAGCAAGTCAACGACACTTGATTAAACCTTTTATTCCAGCAGAAAAGAGAGGTGTGATAATACCGGCAAATTCTTACATCCCCAAGGATCAACTGACCCAATTATAGCTTTGACCCGAAATTACCTGGAGAACTGGGTAGTCTCCACTGAGGTAAACAGAGTATATGAAAGCTGGAGGGCTTCTGGATCATGGGCTTCACATGTAGCGTAGAAAAATGAAACAACCGAATTGATAAAAGAGATTCACATGACCCAGTTGGAAGCAGCCGTATCAACACCCACCAGTATATGATAATGGCCAAAAATGAGCTCAGCCAAACACGCAACCATGGTAGGCACAACTCGAGCCCAGTCAGATTACAAGATATACAAACACAAATAACTACCAAAGTGATTTCAATTAGTTCAGCAGAGCGGACTACCACCCACTGAAAATTACAAAAATGCTTGGAACCACACTGAAACAAAAAGAAGCGAGTGCAGAGAAATTGGTTGATTTATACAAGCTCGTGATATAGGTATTGGATATTGCCTACTAGGCGCTATTCCAAATAATTCTGTACATTGGCTACTTGAGGTTAGTTAGATCTATTGTATTAAGGGCGGTCCTCCATTGTCAATGTTTGTATTTTATCATTCTTGTTTTTGCTTCAGTAGCTTTTAGTGACCACATTAAAAAGCATTTATAACACCCACTTTGTCAACACTTACATGTGTCTAAAGTCGGTGTTGTTGTAACGTACTGATTAGTACGAACTACATGATATAAATTTCTTACCGAGTTACTATTTTTTAGGTGGAACGGCCTTTTTGCATACTGTTTGGAACCACGAATTCGTACAACCTGATGTTACTGGGTTTACATTGGTTGTGTGAAGATAAGATATTGATTTGTACTTTCTTACTGTTGAAATTTGACGGTATATTTTTACTAGCTTAATACGGATTTAGTTATGTGTAGCAAATGTGGACTTTGACACAGCATGGAAAGGTTTCACCACGTAAACAAATTAGCAGTGAAAAATTAAATGGAATTCATACGATAGGTAAATAAGAATTGTGTTCAATATTAGATGAACCTCAGTTAATAAGGGAGTTTTGAAAGTTCTCTTCAAGCTGGAATACTTATCTCATGTCTCTGAATAATGTACTTGAAAACTACAGCCTGATATCTACTTGTTTTATTTTAAACCATACCTAATAACGTTCCAAAGCAGAGTTGTACTATCTTTGGGATTCCAACTAAGTTGTGATGAAGCGAAAGTTGTTAATACTGTGCGGTTTTTCATGCCATGACAACGTGCCATAAACTAAAAACCTCTTTTTCTACCTGTTTACGGAGCTCGTAAATAATGGGTGGTGTGGAAGCAGCCCAAATAATATGCCTGAAACATGATTTAACCACTAAAATTAGTGTTAGAAAAATAATAGAATAGCTTAAGTTGTTATCACCGATCCTAAACACTACCGAGATTCCGCGTTATTAGCATGATACCACTAAATACTAGTAGTCATTCAGAAACTGGTTAGTTCTCAATGCCAGGATTCACGGAGATGGGGGAGAACTTACAATGTGTTGTGTATTCTACCTTATAAGAACGAACTGGTATCATCACGACACTAAAGATGATTAAAGACGGCATAAGCTGCTGTGATTTCCACCATTGTTATATCTCATATGTTGTGCCAACATTAGTAATTCATAAGCACGATTGTTGGATTCTCAAGGGTATATAACTGTAGCACGTTGTTTTTATCGCAGATTAAGAGCGAAGGGGTTGTCCTGTACTCTGCTTTGAGAAAAATTATTTTTAAACTGATAATGAATACTTTCTTGAATAGTTTAAACTACCACCTGTACTTTATCCTCTTCATTTATATACATAAGTATTCCTTGTTATAATCCCGTATCGGTTGTTCAAACACTCATTGGGTATCTGTTTTATGCGTAACCTAACGTCGTCGTGTATGTGTCTTTTTAGTAATACCAAGCTGACAGAAATAGTGAACCTAATCAACTTGATACAGTTCTTCAACAATTATTGTCACAATGGATCGTGGGACTAAACGTGCTAGATATAGTCCAGAAAATGAGAAGAGTAGCGCTGTGTCGGAGAACCCTAAGAAAGATGATTCGTCAAAAAACCCTGACAAATTCGCTAACATATTTGGCAAAACTGGTGGTGCGTATATTCCCCCTGGTCGACTTCGCCAAATGCAAGCCCAGATAACTGACAAATCATCTGAGGCCTATCAACGAATTGCTTGGGAAGCACTGAAAAAATCCATCCATGGTTTCATTAATAAAGTGAATGTATCCAACTTATCTGAAGTTGTCAAACAACTACTTATGGAAAATATTGTTAGAGGTAGAGGTTTATTCGTTAGATCCCTTTTAACCGCACAATCGGCGTCACCAACTTTCACCCATGTTTTTTCGGCCCTTGTTGCTGTTGTCAATTCGAAATTTCCCAAGGTAAACAAAATGCTATCAGTTTATGAAATTATATATGTGAAATTAAATATTAATATATCGCTAGACTTTGGTTAACGCACATCTGTGTGATGCTGTACGTTCACGATAACAGAATATCTTGATCAAATCTCTTTGTTCTAGAAGGGAAAATACATACCGTAAATTAGTAAAAGACATATAGTTTTGAAATCACTGTGTGGCGCAAGTTCAGAAAAGCCAACCAACGTTTCTGAGATTTAATTACATCAACCATCAAGACGGGAGTGACTTTCAAGGTAAATAAAGTAATCAACACGCCCATCCACTTCACTCCTTATGATCAGCTAGGTGACGGTACGGATGAGGCTTGAAGCAAAATTTTTTATTTAAAGGGAATTACACATCCCAAGAATATTTGGATTGTTGCTTAAAGCAATTAGAAAATCCTGCATTAAGCCAGCATTTTTGCCAGGTAGACCTATATAATCTGGCTATTCAAGGTCAATAAGTAAGTCTGTCAAGTGGTAGATCAATCCCTGAAAATTCAGAGGACAAAAGCGTGATCGCTAAAAAAGATGTCTATGACAAACTTAAGTCAAGATGGAGAAAGTGGACAAACTTAAAAGACACTCATGTTATAAATTCTTATGACAGGTCTCCATAAGCTCTAACAATCAGCAGTGTTCAAGTTTAGATACTTTACAGAGTTTATCCACTTCGGTACTCCTTTCAATGACAATCTGTCACAAAACCTCTGTTAGTGGAGCTGAATACATCCTTAAGATCGAAGAATACAACTATTTTCCGGTACTGGTATGTATGTCTACGTCTTAAAACCTGACGAGGAGTGAATATTTAGTGTGTACATCCATGTTCAGGTCTGAAACCTGCCTTATTTTCTCAGGTTTGCCCTTTATGATCCCTAGATAAACAAACGTTGGAGGTCTGTTGAGGCTAATATTTTAGACACGATATTTACTTAAACTGACTCCTCTATGGTTATCACAAGAGCACTTTTCTCCTTTCTTATAGTCTATTTATTTATTTATTTGAACACAAATATTGATACAAGGGGGCACCAGATATATATGCGCCACACATCTAGTCTATAAGGATCAGCTATCGAGACTAGTCAGATGAGATCACGTCCGGTCCCCATATTCTAGCTAATATCGCCAAAACTAGACTACCATCCTTAAAG